TTTTCAAAACATGGTTAACATTTCCAAATAAAAAAAAACAAAAAAGGATTTACTCTAATTACATGGTTCCATCATAATTTTATTTTTTATTTTATGGGTTCCATCTTAATTAGTTTACTTAAAATTGGATTTTATGTACCTTTCCGATTGGCAGTAAATGTTGACGTTTATGGTTTGACCACTAAAATGTTTTACCAATAATTTTTGTTTTATTTTTTACATGTGAAAAAAAAATGTCTTACTTTTGAAATTTTCATCTAACATGTTAAAATCATTTTGCAAAAGTCATCTTGCAATACAACCAATAGAAATTTTCTCACCAAGTAAATCTATTTAAAAATAAACAAAAACGTTATCAAATCGAACTAGATATTTATCAAGTCGAACTCCAAATATTTAAAAATGAAATAAAAATTATAGTTTGAATAAGTATTTAAAATAATTATCTAACTTTTGGATGATATATTTACAGCTTTGATGACATCAACACAGAAAAATTGCAAATGGCTGCCAGAGACAATAAAATTGAGATAGATTTATTTTATTTCGACCCAAAAAGTATCAATTGGGACAACTACTTTATGAATATTCACCTTCCTGGAGTTGTTCGACATGTCTTTAAATAATTATTTGTCTTAGTGACATTTTAATTTTACATTAGTCCTTGTAAATCTCTCAATATGCATCTTTATTTACATAAATATTGTCAAGGATCATATGTTATTTCAATGCTAATGAACAAGCCTATATATATTATATATATACATACTTTATATAATTCATGATATGCCTATCTTCAATTCTCCCTCATTCTTATAAACATGCAACAATTGTCCTTTATAATTTCATTGATCTAGTTTGAATTAATTGTCAATAATGGGTAAGAAAAGGAGAAGATATATTCTCAATTGAGAAAATTAAAAATGTATTTTTTCTCAAGGGGTATCTATCTTCGAGAAAAAGGTTAAAGAAAAAATGAGCGATTTCAACCCATCAAACAAGCCATGCATGACTAATAAAGGTTAGGTCTTTAAGAACTTCATGACCAAGATGTATAACTTGCCAATAAGTCATGTTCCGATCTAATCTAACCATTGAACTCGTGGTCTCGTGGATACTTGACGTTCAATGATCGTCCAACAATAGAGGTACGAAATAAGTCTAGCCTTGAAGAATTCTTCTAAGTACCCGTCCTCGAGTATACTCCATGCTATTTAATTTTTCGAGCACCCAACAAATAAAAACCACTTTTATTTTTTGATCAATTATTTTAAAAGCTCATTCTTTAGAAAGCTATTGACCAGAATCCTAAGGTAGTTTAACATTTGTAGAATCACTTTTAGATGTAATGGACTCTTCGGTAACGTTCCTGTTTCTTGTTTTTAATCTTCTTAAGAAATCTAAGCATTTTGCAACTAATTATATTTCTTATTTCTCCATTTTTGGGAACATTCTCAAAATTGTATAGAAATTTTGGAAACAACTAAAACAAGTTTCTTATTTCTTATTCTCATTTCTAATTTGTTCCAAAATACAAATAGAAATATTATTTTATCATACTTGAATTCAGGAACGTTATTCTCGAACGACGAATAGCCAAATACCTCATCAAGGTAACTCAATTCCACTTTTGCCTTTTGTCATTTTGAGTTGACATAGGTTCCACACTTCTCTTTTATTTGCAGATTGTTGGAGCAAGACAATAGATTTCAACCATCTACATTTTGTATTCAATAACTCCTGTAAGAAAACTATCAATACATTAATTTCTAGCACTTGTTTGAGTCCACAATTTTTTTTTTTTTTAGTACAGTTGGTGTTCACAATTGGACTTTATAATTTAGAAGTAGTTTCCACAATTTACAATGTTATAACAATTAGGTTTAATTACAACAATTTTATAGATTTAGAGTTATACATTAAATTGAAAATTCGTAGGCGTGATTGTAACAACTCATACAGAAGTTCAAAAATTGTATGTGAAATTTTCTTTTTCTTTTTAATTATTAAAAAATGATAACCTTGATTTGCATAAATTGATGATTAACTTGAATATTACTCAACTATATTTATAGCATATATTAATTTATGATCAATTATAATTACTTATTTACGTAATTTACTTTTGATAAATTTATAACAATTTTTTTAGTTGCTACTTTGGTACTATTTTATCTAAATTATACCACAGTTACCCGCAATGAAATTCTCTATAACCCATAAAACGTTGAAGAAAAAACAGCTGAAAATTTTATATTACATAATGAATTCTACAAAATAAAAAAATAATTAAATAACATGTTAATTGATAATATGCCATTCCATATCTAAAAGCTTATTCATTAACAAGATAACATGTTTAATGTCATTTTTTCACATATATTATTGAGATTATAAAGAGTTAAATTCTCATAAGAATTGAAACTGAAAAAAATAAATAAATAAGTAGAAATGTCAATCACCCTCAACCCATAAATCACTCGACCCAACTCGACCAAGCATATATCAAACATCTCGACCCGAACCCAAGCACAACTTAGAGCATATATTAAGAATTACTACAACCATCAAAACAAAATCTTACAACATTAATTATACAAGTCAGGAAAAAGAGATATAAATAACAATGTACATACCTGAATGTGGATGAACGCATTTGAAGGAGCCGAGGACGAGGAGAAATAATAATGAAAACCATGATCGCAAATTATGCAAAGTCCTTTCTAACTCTAGGAAGCAGCAGTAGTACATAAGATACAACGCATTCTAGGACCGCCCACATCCGTATCATTCTCATCGTCATCCTCATCGTCATCCTCTACTTCTCCGTTATCATAATCGAAGTCCGATGTCGAATCATGCCTAGTCTCTCCAGCCCCTTTCTTAGCATCAAGATTGGAGGTAGATTCTGTGAGACAAGTCGCATGATACGCATGACAGCAAAAGAACACAATGACCGATATGTTTTGTATAGAAAAGGGATCGAAACATATGCAGCATCGAGTGCCTCCCCGAGTTTTCGACTTAACCTCCATCATTCTAACACTCGATGATTTCTGAATCGTCTGAGAAACCTTATTTTCATTCCTTTTCCCGCGTGCTTCATCTTCTTCGTTGCTCAAGTAAATTCCATGTTTGGCCTCCTTGTAGTACTTAACCAATAGATTCACAGTATCAGCCTGTTGAAAATCACACGTTACTATTTTCCAGCACAAGGTTCAATTATAATGAAGCAACAAATTATTGTAGCATGAAAATACCTTCAAAATATCGTTGCATCCATGTCTAAGACTCGTTTCGGTCCTGTAATCAGTAATGATTTTAACGAGCCGATCCCTAAGGCTGAAATAGAAATAAGGAAAATATTTTAGACTATATGTACATCTAAAAGACAAAATATTCAGGTAATGAATTTAAAAAAAAAAAAAAAAGATAAACATCACAATCTTATTATTCACCAAATCAGTGGCCTGTGATTCACTGATGAAAGTTTTGGTAGTGATAGTGCCAGAACTATTATCTATTTTTACATATGTTTAATTTGTTTAATTCAGGCACAACTTCTAATCTTATAACAAAATGGTTGGTGCGCTTATTTTCATTACTGGTTGCTACACAAGTAAAACGATGGGATGTTTTGAGAGAATTATCTGGAAGTAAATTTCCCAAGATAGATAATAACAAGGTTTTAATGCCTCAAAAATCAACTACTAAACGATCGGGGCCAACTTAAAATGGGGATCTTCTCTTTTTTTTTCTCTTCAAAATCTGTATCTCCACATGTCGTTTTCGATGAGGCATCATCATGATGGTCAAAAGATCGGCCACGGCCCACCCGACTAGAGGGACTGAGAAATTAATAGATAACTGGGAATCGGAGCTTCGCTCACCTATGTACCTCTGCCCAAGGCCTGGACCCAGGAGTAATCAAGGATTTTTGAAGATAGGGATCATATAGAATGAGTACAGGCAGATTACAAAATATTATCAGGATAAACTAGTAACTACATAACTTATGCAGGAAGCGATGAGAATAGAAGAATGAATACAATGGACATTATTAATAACTATATACGAACCAATAGACATTATCCATAGACTGATGAAATTTCTAGCTGATTCAATGAAAATGAAGATTTGAGTCACATCCCAAGTGGTCTTTTTATTACTTTTTGCAAGTAACATCAATTATAAAAACGCAAATTCTACAAGTCCTATCTCCCAAGCACAAATATTCATCTCAAAGAACAATTCTCATATGTCAGAGCAATATAAAAGACATTCTTTATTCTAGGAAAAGAAACCTAATATTAAACAAAAGCAAAAGATAAAAAGAAAGAGAGGACGGTGATAAGACATAAACCAAGACCAAATCAGGAATTAGAAAGAGCTTCCGAAATTCAGAATATAAGAAACGTGGAGCAACTACAGAAATGCTATCAAAGAGGTCTAAGAAGCAACCAGAGTTTAAAAACTTTTTTTTTAGGAAAAAAACCCTTCTAACTTCTAGAAGTCTCAGACGAATTTAAATAAATAAAAATTATACAAGTGAAAGGGAAGCTCGGTACATTTTAGATGAAATGTGCAACTTGCAATAGAAAGACAACAAATATAAACAAAACAGAAGTTTTGAACTACTGGAGGTAAAATGGTTACAAACCGAGGTATCTCTAAACCATTGGGAACCCTGTTGACAATATAAAGAGGATCTAGATTGCCAACTGTGTGCTCCAACAACATGCCGACCTGTCAACAATGGAGGGTAAACCATTTAAAATAAATCAGTGTGTAGCAAATAGTCTGCCAGAGAGAAGCATTCAACGATACCATTTCAGCCTTGTGAAGACATAGCTTTATTAATTCTTCCCAAAGCTCATCATCATGCTGCATGCTAACAAACTCTACTGCCTGTAAACAAAGTTTTGTGACCAGTTCATAACCAGATCTCAAAAGAGATCTCAAATGGAAATGTGGGGTTTCTATCTGAAAGCTGGGACTGTCCTCAGTCAGAAAATAATGCGGTTACCTCTTCGATATCCCCTAATTTATCAATGATGACAGCAAGTACTTGTTTTGCGTTTCCCATTCTTCCAAGAATAAAGACTTGCTCCCTCAAAAGATTTTTCTTAATGCAAATTTCATATGCCTGAGAATTACGTTCACCAAGTCATATACACTAAAGAATTATCCCTATAAACAGCAACAGGTAACTCTAACCTTCTCAAGTGTATAATGTTGACTACTACGAAGAAAAGGAAGTAGCATCTTTCGATCATAGTCAGCATAAAGCTCCACCTACACAAATTATGGAGGGTAAAGGGGAAGAAAATTATTGAATAGGAACAAGAAATCTTTAAGTATAAAGAAACACAGACACTTTAGTTTGAGTGATGCGTCTGTACCCAACATTTGTTGGAGATAACACAATAAAGGCATGTTAGGCTCTAGTTTACAAATTAATTATGAGTCCAAGATTTGTTAGACACATATCAAATACTTATTAAGATAATAAATAGTAATATAGAACACAATATTGGAACACTCTTATGTATTAATTTAAGATTAGGTCCTAGATTTTAACAAAATGTATATTTAATAAATGTGTCCTACTTTGCCTATGTCCTATATTTTTAGATAATAACGTGCCACCGTGTCCATATCGTGTCATGTTTGTGTCTTGTGTCCGTATTTGTGCTTAGAAGAAACCGCTTATTTGGATTATGAACAGAATGAGTCATACATCTCCCTTTATTATCTTAATCCACATCAAGCTTAATCATTCTAGATAAAACCACCAATGATTTTCATCAAGTAAATGGGTCTGGTATTTATGCAGATAATGCATAAATTATAAAGGAACCAAGCAATGTTATTGAGGTGCATCTGGGTGCAACTGCAAGCCTATGGCTCAAGGGAAGGTGGGGCACGCGCCCATCATCTTGTCTTGTGCAATAGCATTTCATGTGCCTTCAATATGGTGCTTTCCATGGCACACGTTCTGGTGCTTCTCAACATTGCGCAACAATGGTGAAGAGATGAGAAGCCATCGCCAAGGATACCATGTAAAGCTAG